AATGGCCGCCGGACGCCTAAACATCGCTGGAGGGGTAAGTTTGCACACTTATTGGAACGCATTAAACTAAGTTTAATGCGTTCCAATAGGTTTTACTTACCCGCACAGCGATGTTTTCGTATAGCGAAGGTTAATCCGGAACGGATTAACCTCGCTATACGGGGCACCACTGTACTGCCTTTCTCTATGGCATCCACACATATAGCACAGATGTCTACAGAAAGAAGATCTGTTTACGTTCAACTATATGTACCAATGGGCAATGTTAATTATTCCCAGAATAAGGCAGTCAATGGATATTCCAAATCCCATCCCCCCCCCCAAAAAAAACCCTGTTTCCCCCCTCTGAGCTTTACAGAGGCAGCTCTCAAAGAAATTAAGGCTGGTGTTAGTGGCTAAGCATTTGTATGTCTGCTTGTTTTATTTATTTTTATCCCATCTTGCTCCTAAACAGGGACCCAAGGCAGCATCCATTAAAACTGAAAAACAGTAACTACTGAGCCATCTTTTACTGATAGAAGCAGCATATATACAAACTCTTAGCATCAAAAACAATGCCACCATCATGAGAAGAATCCAGAAATCTGCTCTGTTGTGATGGCTGGGTGCACTTCCAAACAAAGAGAGAATTTTTTTTACAGTGTGGGACTTTATCATTTAGAATATTGCAACATAATCAGAAGCTACCTTGGGAGTTCTATGTTTCCCACCTCTGAGCTTTACAGAGGCAGCTCTCAAAGAAATTAAGGCTGGTGTTAGTGGCTAAGCATTTGTATGTCTGCTTGTTTTATTTATTTTTATCCCATCTTGCTCCTAAACAGGGACCCAAGGCAGCATCCATTAAAACTGAAAAACAGTAACTACTGAGCCATCTTTTACTGATAGAAGCAGCATATATACAAACTCTTAGCATCAAAAACAATGCCACCATCATGAGAAGAATCCAGAAATCTGCTCTGTTGTGATGGCTGGGTGCACTTCCAAACAAAGAGAGAATTTTTTTTACAGTGTGGGACTTTATCATTTAGAATATTGCAACATAATCAGAAGCTACCTTGGGAGTTCTAAATCCCCTTGATTCAAACGGGTCACTAGCTGAAACCACCAAATGGATTCAGACCCATATTTCTGCTCAGAAAATTCTAGTATTGAACAATTACTGCCATGATGACACAGTAGAAGGCTCTCTCCTTGATGTCCTTCCCGTAGAGGTTGCATTTTGCCGCAATGTAACTGAGAATGGCTGAAGTCTGCACCATCTTCATCCCTTCAATTTCCACCATGGGCACTTGCTGGAAGAGCAGCCATCCATCTTTTAAACAGAAACGAGTGCTAAGTGAAATTTTAAAAGGGAAAATGGTTTCAGCTGAATATTAACAATTAATCAAATGTTGCTCCCACTGCGGAATTAAAAATAAAGCATGAAGACCTCCAATTATTCCATTATTTGTTACATTTATATCCTGCCTCTCTACCCATGAGCTCACAGTGACAAATGTGGCTGTCACTGTGTCTTCACAACAGTTCTGTGAGACTGTGAGGATACAGTATGAGTGAGTAGTTCAAGATCATCCTTTATTATGCAGGCCCTAGTGGCCATTTGAACCCAGGTCTCCTGAGCCCTAGACAAAAATGCTCACCACTATACGACAGTTTGACAGAACAAGGAAAACATTGCCGAGGTAAAACATTTTCTCTACAATGAATTGTAAAACCAATGTAACTATTTATTTGTTTCTGTATCTCATATGACTTCTGGTTTTCAAAAATGATAAAACTTTTAAAAGACCCACTTCACTCCAGCTTGCAGGAGCATCCACGGCAGAACCTCTGGTGAAAATCAGAACACTGAGGTGGGCACGTAGGGAGGGAGGCAGACGGTCCTCCAGGAACCCTGGCCAAACTCATGAACGCCTTTAAAGCACAAAAATAACACTCTGAACTGGGCCTAGAAACAGTCACATTGCCAACTATATTCATGGGTGTCCACAGGAGGGAGTGTGTGCCTTCTTCCAGAAGCCTGAATGTCTTGCTTTAAGATCATGCACTGTGTTCCAGTGGAACCTACTAGGCATACAAATTACACTAGCATACTGTTAAGCAGTTTTGCTTGTGGTGTACAGGAAAAATCCTCAACCTGGATTGTAGTGACAAGCTTTCAAAATCAAATGAGACTGAACCAATTCTTAACCTGAGAATAAGATTATTTGTATACTCTGGCACTGGTTTCAAAGCCTAATGGATCAATAGATTTTTAGGTAAGGCAACATTGACCTTTGGATGTTGCTGGCCTTCTTTTTCCATCATGCTCCACTCTTGGCTGTTAGCTATCGCTGACATGAGTCATGGTCCAAAACATCTGGAGGGCCACAAGTCACCTCTTGTGATTTAAAGAATAAGCTACTACTGACATCCACCTTTAAAGTGCTTACATGTGCATCATATCTTCACCTACAGACCTACCGTTGCGTAGTTTTTCCAGATCTTCCTTTGTTTCTATAAATTGTTCTTCAAACTGAAACAGAGCAATGGAGCAGAACTGGATGTTTATCTCCCTTCTCATACAGACTTAATGCTCCTGAATAAAAATAAAATAAATAAAAATGAATGTGTGTTGTTTTTTTTTAGTTTGATGCTGCTGATGCTCCTTGGGTTATTTAGAAATTCTTATGGAATAAAATATAATCTTGGCATTTTGTTTTCTTCTAAGTCTCTGAATAGTCAATTGTTTAAGTGGTTTCAGAAAAGAGGTTGGCATCAAACTGGTTTTTTTTCCTCCCAACAGAAATCATGTGTTCAGGCAGTATACAGTGCTGCATTTCTTTACCATTATCTTTTGTTCATTATGCAGATCAGCCGCTCAGTTAAATGGCCTCAGAGGGAAAAGCAGTTTGGCCCATTGAACTGAGGCAACATGTATTGATGATTGTCAGTATGATAGTTCCTGGGCCATGCTAGCTGGTGTCTATTTTTGTTGAGGGAGCAGAAGGCATGACACAGGCAATCAGACAGACAAAGCCAGGGCAAAAAAAGAGGCATTAAACACACACCAGGAGCATTCACATAGGCATACTGAGGAAGAGAAAATGTGTGTGTGTGGGGGGGGGAGAGGACCTGATCCTCCACTTCTGGTAAGGAGGCACGCATGAGGGAGATGTCTGAGAATAACCTGAGCCTGAAGTGGGGCCTTTATTCTAATAGCTACTATTTCCCTTCAGTTCTCAGGTAATTTCTTGCTTCTATTCTATATCTTATATCTTACCCATCTGCAACAGTGGTGGATAATTGATCTCTCTTATTAATAACGATCTTAAATTATGCTAAAATGTTTTTGTTTGGATCCAGAGTTTGTAAGAAACCTTCTTGTTCAAAGATCTGCTCAGAAGGGGTTCCCACCAGGTGGGGAGTGGCAGGGCCAATTCTCCCTCCCTCTGCACACACACCTTTGCTCCCAGGTCAAGAGGGTCTCCCACCCTCCATCGCCCCTTTTCAAGGGGCACAGAAGACTGCAGGGGGAAGAGTCAACTGCTGAAGGTCACATCCTTCCCCATTCAACCAACAGAAAACCTCTGCTGGATCCAAAGCCCTTCCATGAAAGAAGGACCTCTTCTGTCCACAAGAAGCTTCTGCTGGATCCCACCACCGGCATTACACTGATATTATAAGACTAACTGGACCAGTAGGTGTGTCTGCACATACGTATTTGTTAGAATGATTTACAAAACTGGAATATTTAGTGTTTTCCTACTTTGATTTATAGGAATACTTTGATTCAGAATAGCTGAAGAAGATCCTTCTGAGATTCAAGATAAAAGAGATCTAAAGTACTGTGTGATGCTTTATGACTACAGTACTCTCCCCCCCTCCCCAGATTTTGCTGGATCCTACTGTTTACCGTTTCTTTTCTTTCTCCTCTTCTTTTCTTTTAATTTTAATCTCAGCTCTAGTGACCTCTCAGCCTAAACTGCCTCTGTTGATGTGGGGCTTGGGGAATGAGAGAGATATACAGGTTGCTATCAGGGAAGGGAAACACAGAAATAAATAAAGCCTCAATGGACAGCATTGTAACTTTCAGAATGGAAAGTAAGATCCAAGTATAAAATGAACCTTGTGCAAAAATTGGCCTCTGTATTATTGTCTGCCGTGTGTTTTGTAGACTGCATCAGATGAGTTATGTTGGCTCCTAATTTGTTTTCAGGCACAATGAAAACTGCTGGTTTTCAGCTAAAGCAGGTAAAAGAACATGTTTCCTGCATGTTGGAGAACAACTCCTGTCAGTCACAGCCAACAGAGCCACTGGTGAGGAAAACAGAAAACACTTGGACACCAGAAAAGACCACCTCTTTTGCATTTCAACCAGTCCCTAGTTTGCAATCTTCTTCTACAACCCTGCACCTAAAACTACATGCCCAGCAAAATGTGACCTTTGTTGCTTCCCATGACATAAGCCCAACTTGCACTTTAAAATGGTGTGCAGTGTGCACTATTTTAAAGCACAGTAGGGCCTCCTTCGTGGTGAGCCACGTGAGAGAGCCCTTCCTTCTCCACAGGGCTCGTTTGGCTGACAGGAAGCTGGATGGCAGAGGCTGGGCAGCACAGGGGCAGCGGTGGCAACCGCACATTTGAGGACCCTGCCCCTGCCCCCAACTCACTCTGCAAAGGAAGAAGGGCAGGAGAGTCCTCAACTACTCAACATGTGACAAAAATTGAGCTGATTGGGGGGGGCAAGAATGTGGTCACCCACTAGCCAGCGCTGGGAGGCTTCCTGGCTACCTCGGCACTGGACTGTTCATGTTGTTCTTGTCTGGGGGCGAGGAGGGAGCAGCCAACAGCTCTCTCTCTCTCTCTCTCTCTCCAACAAAAATGGAGCTGATTGGGGGGGGGCAAGAATGTGGTCACCCACCAGCCAGCGCTGGGAAGCTTCCTGGCTACCTTGGTACTGGACTGTTCATGTTGTTCTTGTCTTGGGGGGGGGGGAGCAGCCAACAGCTCTCTCTCTCTCTGCCATATTGACACAGTACATATGTTTGGAACAATCTCACTCTGATTGGCAGACAACCCACAGTAAAAACCTTACTTTTGGAACATTCTCACTCTGGTTGGCAGACAACCCACAGTAAAAACCTTACTGTTGTTTATCTGCAAACATGTACCTTAGCCTGTTGTTTGACTTAACAGTAACAGAGATTAGAAGAGTGGGTGTGTGAAACATGATTTTTCCTGCAGCAACATGTTGCTTATGAACTCCCTCGACAAGGAGGTCAGCTGGGCCCTAGCTTTATGCAGGCATAATGTTCTTTCTATTTAGGCCAGCTTCTGTTGGGTGTAGATGTTTTAATCTAATTTCTGGTTGTTGAATGCTCTGTTTTTATTGTTTCATGTTTATAAATGAAGCCCTGTTGCATGGAAGAGTGATACTGTTTCTAAGTACTTCAATAAAAAGAAAAATAAAGCATGTCAGAAAAGGCTACTCATAATTCTGCGTGGCCACTTGATTACTATTCTGCCAGAAAAGGACACAAGCGATGCAAAGGGAAAAGACGTATTGGAACTTTACACCAGGATTGTTGCATTTTTTTTTGGGATGGGTCAACTGTGTCTGCAGAAAAAACCACTAACTTTGACCCCAGTTCATTCATGCAGCCTTCTCTCTCCACATGGCTATACCAACCTCAATTCCAGCTGCAGCCAGCAGATGGATTCCATTTTCCCTTTTCCACAAATATAGTGAAGCTTTGGTTTCCCAGCCATTTTAAGGACAGCCTTTTACTCTGTCAAGGGGGAAAACAGGAGAAGAAGGAAGAAAAATTAAGGATGGGAATCACGCATCAAGCAAATTATGTCTTTCTCAATATTGTGTTGTTAGCCTAAGATGATATCGATATCATCATCATCATCCTCATCATCCTCATCATCATCATCATCGGAACAGCAAACATACTGCACTGTATTTAACAGATATTGTACTTAGGTTTTTGTATCTGTTATCTGATATCAACCAGCCAACGTTTTTATAATATTGACTGCATCTGGTGTTTCATAATAATAATAATAATAATAATAATAATAATAATAATAATAATAATAATAATAATGAAGAAGAAGAAGAAGAAGAAGAAGAAGAAGAAGAAGAAGAAGAAGAAGAAGAAGAAGAAGAATACATACAAAACTGGATTAGTCTCTCTCAGGGACACACACCCCCCCAGTTTATGTGAATAAGTGCAACAGTTGTAACCAGTAGGTAAGTAGTTCTTGGCTTCTTCTGTTTTTCTGTAGGTGACTACTTGCAGATTGTTGCCCTCATGACATTTTCTCCTAGATGAGTTCCCTTCTTCAGTGAGATCACTTCATTCTCTGTTCTGCTTCTTCTTTAATGGAAGGCCAACCGTGAGGGTGCCTCCGTACTGGCCTTCTATATACCTGCACACAAAGAAGTATGTAATCCCCTAGGGGCTTCTGTACTCAAGTTTAGGATTTCTCATGAATGGATCAATGCAAGTTTTTCTTTCTGTCCTCACCTTGAGAGTCTTGACTGCTTGGTCCAAACTCACAAAGACAAAAGCTCAGCTAACTAGCATGTTTACTTTTGCCACCATAATTACCACAGACTCCTACAATGATAAAAGGAGCCCACCATTTTAGGGTAGGTCTTCCGTGCCTTAAATAGCTATGCATTTCTCATGAATGGATCAATGCAAGTTTTTCTTTCTGTCCTCACCTTGAGAGTCTTGACTGCTTGGTCCAAACTCACAAAGACAAAAGCTCAGCTAACTAGCATGTTTACTTTTGCCACCATAATTACCACAGACTCCTACAATGATAAAAGGAGCCCACCATTTTAGGGTAGGTCTTCCGTGCCTTAAATAGCTATGCTGCAGGCAAAGTTCAACAAGGACAATCCTTCCCAAAGCTGCTGAATTTCTCTGCCTTGTAAAGCTTTCCTTAATTGATCTTTGCCTGCCACACAGCTATTAAAAGTGCAGGAGCTCTCTCAGATAATAGATAAAAAGGCAAAGGTTCCCCTTGACATTTAGTCCAGTCGGGTCCGACTCTAGGGGACAGTGCTCATCCCTGTCTCCAAGCCGTAGAGCCAGCATTTGTCCGTAGACAGTTTCCGTGGTCACGTGGCCAGCGCGACTAGACACAGAATGCTGTTAACTTCCCACCGAGGTGGTACCTATTTATCTACTTGCATTTTACATGCTTTCAAACTGCTAGGTTGGCAGGAGTTGGGACAAGCGACAGGAACTCACTTATCTCTTAGATAAAACTGCAGCCAAATCTGAGAACAGGAGTTTACTATTGTTACAATGAAGATTCTAAGCTCCCTTGCTAAACTCTCGTTCCCATGGGATTGAGGGGCTACAGAAACAAGCACATTAAAATTCAACTGCTTTGAATTTGCATTTTGTTGATCAAGAAAGGAAGAAGCCTGGGGACATAATCCTCTACTCACTCACCTGCCAGTAAGGCCAAGTGAACAAAAGGATGCTTACTTCTGACTAGACATAGGATTACATGGTATGAATGCAGTAAAGGGACACTGACACCAAAATCAATACACAACTAGGAAGTAATCCCTGACTAAGGAAGTGCCTGACTACACCAGCATTTGTCCCACTATTTAGTCCACTCTGGAGATGGGCTGGACCAAATGACGTAAGTGCCAGAACGAAGTAGCCAATCCTATTCCCACTTGCACCTTTCTGGGTCCCTATCAGGGGCTCCTTTTTGGGGGTGGGCGGTTGCAGGGGTGGCTGTTCCTTTGGGGAAGCTGCTCAACTGGAGACTTCCACTCAGCTCTCCTTCCTGTTTCTCTAGATTGCTAAGCAGCTTTAACCATCCTGAGAAATGGGAAGCGTTTCCTTTAACTCTTCCAGTGCTGCATCCCTTTAAAAGAAAATGAAATCTAAAGGGAGACAGGAGGGGCCAAGGAGGAGGATTTATCTTTGTCTTTCTTTTCAAGGTCTGGTTGAGAACCTGCTCGCAGCTGAATGACAGCACATGCACTACACTAACACACTCCTAGTGCATTAAACGCCGAAGTGTCTCATTTGCCAATACTTTCTCTGGATCCTTTCCAGCAATCATGCTGGAAATGATCCAAACCAAAGCAACCCTACCCACACCAAAAGAGTAGAAGCCAGAATACTACAGGTATGGCCACTCTGGGTGTAGGCCTGTTTGCTCCAGGAAAGGTGTCGCAGGAAGCCTTGACTACGCAGGTGTTTTGTCCACTGTTTGATTGGTTGCAAACCAGCCCCTCCCTGCAACCAACGAAACAGTGGACAAAACACATGTGTAGTCAGGTTTTCTGTGTACTTAACACATGCTCCCGTGCAAAAGAGAAAAAGTATCTTACTGTGCATTTACTCAGAGGTAATCCACACCAGAGTTCAACTGCACCTATTCCCAACAAGGTGCACCTAGAACTGCAGCCTCTGAGGAGCCAACCATGGGAAATGCCTCCTTCCCCAATAATGTCATCTGAAAACCATGTTTTGTTAGGTTTGCAGTGGTGTGACAGCAGAAACTCATCTAGAAAACCAACCAAAGATTATGTGCAGGCAACTGTCCTAAACAGCCAAACAAAGGTGGTCACCAACTGCAGATCTTGCCCCTTTCTGTCTCAAACAGTCCTGCTGAAAAACAGCCAACTTCAATTGCAGAATCACTTCTCCATTCATTCAATAGCTTAATTTTTAACCCATCTGGTTAAACCTGCTTAGTCATGGTCACTCTATCTTCAATGCCAGAGAAGACGAGATGAAGTTGTGCCCTAGGTTTTGCAAGTGTTTGATCAATGATAAAAAACTCCACTAATTGCTCGATCGACCCTGCTAGACAGGTCATCCATTCTGGCACAAAACCCAGTTATCCCTTTTGCAACAGACCAGAGCCAGTGCCAGACCTTTGGACAAGTTTGCATTCCTCCCAATGCCATGAAATGCAGGAGCTAGCAAGGAAGCGTGGCTATATCTCACTTCAGTACTGCAACGAGGACAGAGTTCACCATTATATCCGAAGGGGAGAATGTTGGTTTAGGAAGTTTAGGCCGTGTGGCAC